CCTTCATTTATACCTTTATTTTGTTAAAAAATGTAGGTGGTTTCTGAATTTCAAAATAATTTTTGGCAGTCTATAAATTTTCATACTTATTCTACAGTATATCACAATTATAAATAATGTTGCAATGAACATCCTTATAATCGTTATTTGACCATATCTCTGATATTTCCTTAGCATAAATTACTAGAATTAGACAACTAGGGTGGAGGAATTAAAATCTGAGCTACAGTATCAACTGTGGTTACAGACAGTTTGTAGACTTTCTAGACCAGAGGTCGGCAAACGTAAATATTTATTTTAGGCTTTGTGGGCCAAGAGGCAAAATAAGGCTATGTGTAAGTACATTATTTCCATAACCATTTAAAACTGTAAAAAACATTCTCAGCTCACAGACTATTAAAAAACCATATGACTGGCCAGAGTTGTCCTGCAAACTGTAGTTTGCCGACCCCTGCTCTAGGGAGTGGCTTTAGGTCCCAAGGATAGTCTATGCGTAAAGAATGATCTGTTGGTCTAGAGTCCTTCACATGTCCCTAAATTTCAGTATTAGCAGTTTCTCTGCTTCGATAAGGGACACAAATGGAACAATGAGATACCTAAGTACCCTGTGTGCTGTCTATCAGCTGTTACTTCTACTCATTGCTGTCTTTGAGGCTTAGAAACAATGCCAAGGCCACAGTACTGAAAAGTAGAGAAATGATAGAGTTGTTAGTAAACATTAAGATTAAAATACACCAAAGACCAAATATCAGATGGCTGTTTAAAACACCCTCCTGATCTTCCAACTGAACGCTAAAATCTACACGTCTGAGCCATCAGTAGTGTTGGATGTAGACTCCTGCGTAGTCGAGGGAAAACAAAGATGCTATGAGACGGCCAAAGTGAAGAACCCTGCTGATTTTCTCAGAAATGCCCGATCGAGTCTCCAGACGGCATCTCGTGTTAGCATGCATGGCAGTTACCTGCATCTGCACCTCCACAGCCACAAGTTTCCAAGGTTCGTTACTCGAATTTACAGTCACTTATGAGAGGTGGCAGCAGTGTTGATAAAATGGACACCCAAATGTTTCAGTTACTCTACTTTTCAAATTGAGGAAAGTTGTAGGAAAGCAGGGACCTTGCAATTTATCAAGTGCCGATTCTGAATTTCTGTGATAATCAAGCATAAAAGTAAAAAGATTCTGAAGGGACAGAGGGTACTACTTAAGAAAGATGGAAGGAGCGGTCTTTGGAAAAGTCTTCTATGTCATTCTTGTTTCACATACGTGGCCACCTGAACCCCACAAGGGTAGGCTGGGGAAGGGAAGACAGCTGAAGGAAGCCCCTCACAATGAGTCCTTGTGTATCTGACATCATGTATGTCTTAACTTCTTCACGATTTTGTTACACAACTAGTGGAGGAGAAGGTATGGCGGCTGCTTCTGTATCCCGTTTGCTCAGAAAATTAAGCAAGAACTTATCCTGCATTGAATCCTCTTCTCCCATCTGGCTGCCATATTTAGTAACAGGCAGAAAAAAACCTTATGCCTCAGTGTTTCTCTTCAAGAGGGCTGCTAGTCACCCAGCCAGGTGGGAGGCCAGGATGTTGTCACTGAAGCCTTTCCCCTGCCAGCCCCACTGAGCTGCTCTGTGGCCTTTCCTGCTTCCTTGGCATAGGTCTGAAGGAATTTCAGAGCTATGTGGGAGGGCGAGAGCATCCAAGCCACACTCTGATGAGACCTGAGGGAGCTTGGACACACCTTCTAACCTGGGTGATTTCTCCCACACAGATGGGATATTCTGCCCAGGAAGGTGTGAGTTTCTGCTAATGCTTTGCATTTGGATAGTATCTTTCTGGGTGGACCTCTCTGTTTCTTCTTTTTTCTTTTATTTTCTTTTTCCTAATCCCCTCATGTCCTTGTTTCTCTCCTTCCATCCTTGTTTTTATGTTTATTTTTTATTTTTCATACTCCTCTCCTTCCCCTGATGGTTAACCGCTGGTACACATTCCGTTTCTTTGCTTCCTTGCACCTGCTGCTGCTGCTGCTGCTGCTGCTTCCTCCTCTGACTTCAGGACGGGGCCTTCTTTATGGAGTTTGTCCGCAGCCCACGCACGGCATCGTCCACCTTCTACCCTCAGGTTAGTCAAACTCCAGGGCTCCGCATGCCTGTCTCACCAGCAGAAGCCACGAGCTGGCCTTCTGTTTGGCTCTGGACAGATGGAATTGGGCTGAAACTGAGTTTGAGGGGCAGTTGAAATTGAATCTGGTCTCAGAAGTGTACTTTCCCTTCCATGGTGTTTGTGGCAGTGAAGGGAGATGGAAGGGATTAACATAAGAGAGCCAACAATTGCACCAGTGTTGACTCAAATGTTTCTCACTGCTGCCTGTGTGTTTCTCATAGTTGCCACTGATTCTCTGCCACATTGCAGCACCTTGCCTTTTAGGCTGTAGAAGCAACATGAAATATGCTTACTCAAGGACTGAACACTTATTTTTTTTCCTCCCAATACAACCAGATAAATTTATAACAGTGTGGCAGGAAGTAGTGAAAAACAGAGCAAACATTTGTTATTAGGTATACGCTATATCATAGGCTAATGGTGTAGCTCTCCTATCCTCTGGGCTTCCCTTAACTTATTTGTCAAATAAAGGGTTTGGGCCAGATCTCCAAGGGCTTTCCAAGCCTTGAAATTCTTCGCTTACTATGTGCCAAGCGCATGTATTATTTCATCTTCACAGCAGAACCTACAAGTTGGCTGGGCATGGTAGCTCACACCTGTAATGCTAGCACTCTGGGAGGCCAAGGCAGGAGGATCCCTTGAGGTCAGGAGTTCAAGACCAGCCTGAGCAAGAGTGAGACCCTGTCTCTACCAAAAATAGAAAAATTAGCTAGGTGTGGTGGCATGTGCCTGTAGTCCCAGCTACTCAGGAGGCTGAGGCAGGAGAATCGTTTGAGCCCAGGAGTTTGAGGTTGCTGTGAGCTAGGCTGAAGCCATGACACTGTAGCCCAGGTGATTAAGTAAAAGTTTTATCTCAATTTTATAAATGGAGAAATTGAGGGATGAGGAAGTTGTGCTTTATACAGCAGAGGGTAGAGCTGGGATTTAAATCCAGGCCCACAGGCTTGACTCATGCCCCACTCTGTAATTACTGTGAGTAATTACTATTTCGACAGGGCCTAGGAGAAGAGAAACAGGGCTCACTGCCCTTTATGGAGGGCCCTAAGTATATGAAATTGACTTAGTTATGGAAAACTGAGAAGAGTTGAGAGGGTTTATGCAGAGTGGCGCAGGCTAAGGACGGTGGGGATATGGAGGTTCAAAGGCAAAGGTTACAGAATCCTTAATTAGTGGAAATCAGAAAACCAATATTTATGGAGTACCCACTCTGCCGGCTACTGTGCAAAGGGCCTTGCAAACATAGTCTTCCCAAAAACCTAGAAAGTGCAGGTATTATCACCCCATTTTCCAGATGAGGAACTGAGACTTAAAGAGGTTAGCTCATCACAGAGCAACAACTAGTAAGTAGCTGAACCCCTACATCATCCTGCCCACTATGCTGGGAGGGTCAGGATTTAGTCAACGTCGGAGCTTTCCCTTTCTTAGGAGGCCAGAGGTTGCTGCACCTGTCTGTGCAGGTCTCCAGATGTCTGCACCTGCCTCTTCCCAGTGAGCTGCGTGGCCCTGGGCAAATCCCTGTCGGAACCTCTGAGTCCTAATCATCTCTGATCTCTGAGTGTGGGTGGCATACTATATTTTTGGTTTGAAACAAACTTAGGTT